GTGTGGGGGTTTTTTTTTTTTTTTGAACAAAAACAAACCGAAAGGGCGACTGGGAATCGTAGTCCCGGTTGCCTCTCTGGCCTCCCCCGCTCCGGAAGAATATGGCTGCATCAAATGTTTGGACCACACTTCCCGGCGTGCTCCGCGGCCGTCTTTTCCGCTTTCCCTCTCCCTTCTTCGGCTTCTCGCCGAGCTCGGCAAAGAAGGGGGACGGGCCGCGGTCTGAGGAAGGGCCGGGTAGAGTCTCGCGAGATTCCAAACTGGCTGGGGGTGGGGAAGACCAGACGGATTCTGGGAGGCGATGCTGGGAAGGGGCGTTGGCCGGACTCCCCACCCCACCCCACCCCCCAAAAAGGGCCAAAATCAAACTCGTTGCCTTGGAGTGGATTCGGATTCGTAGAGACCTTAAAAAGAGAATAGAGTAGGGGAACCCCACAGGGTTCCCAAGGCTGTAAACCTTACGAATGCAGACTGCCACATTTAACCCCTTGGGCGCTGGAGCCAGCGGCCGGTAAGTAGGGAGCGTGAACTGGTAGCGCCCACTTTGTGCCTCTCCCCCGCAGCAAGGATTTTCACCTACTCATCTCGTAGGTGACAAGAGGCAAGGCTTTCCCTTCTGATCCGCCCCTAAATGTCTCACCGCCGCATCATAATGAGAGGAGACACTCATACCAGTAAAACGGTTATTCCACGACTGACGGGCCTCGCCTCGGCAGTTCCCGTTTTCTTTGGTGGCCATGTACTTGCCCTGGCTGTACCTGCAGCCTAGAACGCCCGAACCACTGCGTTACAACGTCGGGTAGGGTAAAGAACTTGGATTTGGGGACTCACTGAGCAGAATGCACGCAGCCAAGAGCTTTTTATTCTCTGGATTAAAACGAGCCCTGCAGTCAAGTGAACCGGCACTGGAATGCTAGCTGAGCCACTTCCTGGCTGGCGGCCTAAAACTTGTGGCGCTACCTCTCTGACCCTTCGCAGAAAATTCACAACATGATTACCAAGAAACGCCTAGTGACTGGAAGAGGGTTTGAAGGGGGACCTTACTTGACATTAAACCAAAAATCCCAAACCACTGCCACTAGTCCATTCCAACTCAGCAGCCATCTAGGACTGAGGGGAATTACCACATGGGGTTTCTGAGGCTGTCTTTAAGAGCAGATAGCCTCATTTTTCTGTGAAGTCTCCGGTGGGTTCAAACTCCTGGCTTTCTGGTTAGCAGCCCAACTCCTAACCCACAGTGGTACCCGGCTCTTTGCTTTGAGAATTAAAAAAAAAACAACGCCAACCAGTCAATTCCAACTCAAATCCACTTGTACATCTTTATGGGAGCAGATAGCTTCATCCGTCTCTTGAAGAGTAGCTGGTGGGCTTGAACTGCCAGGCTTGTGGTTAGCAAATGTTTAATCATTAGTAGCTGTTGTTATACTACCAGAGAGACAGTGGGCAAAGTGCATAGCCTCTTTGAGTCTGGATTGCAGAACATTAATTTCAGAGCACCCTGCACACAGCACATTTCCTGTGCCTATTGAATCATTCCTAGACTTGGTGCTGAACTGAATTAATGGCCAACACCTCAAAGCTAAGCCAGCCAGCTCAGTGTGGCCACATTTGAAAGGATTCCCTAAGTGAGGAAGCACCTGGCTCCAATGCTGAGAGCAGACTAACTGAACAGGCCAACCTCAGACACCATGGGAACTGTTCCTGCTTCTCATTCTAGTAACTCGATTTTCACACCCAATAAAGAAGATCCTGCTAAGTGAATAGATGGTAGAAAGTGAAATACGATGTTTTTTTTTTTTCCTTTTAACTTCACCCCAAGGAGGGGACATAAGGAATGTCCACAAAAGAAATGCGATTAGCTGCTTTGTTGTTTTGGAGGCTGGTTCATAGTGCTTTCGAGTTGGGCTGCTAACTGCAAGGTCAGAAGTTGGAAACCACCAGCCAGCCAGCCACTCTGCAGGAAAAAGACAGGGCTTTCTGCCCCCTGAAAGAGTCTGTCTGGGGAGCAGGTATTAAGGAATTCAAACATTGTGAAACATTGTGGTAGCAATTGTACAACACGGTTTGATGTGATAGGACTATGGAATATTATATCTGTAAATACATCCAATAAAATGATTTCTTTTAAAAATTAAGGTCTCAGAAACTCACAGGGGCAGTGCTACCCAGTTCTGTAGGATCACTATAAGTCAGTATTGACTCAATGGCAGTGCATTTGTAGGTCAAAAATCGAGTTTTTTTGACCGGGTGGTGGCATGGGTTAAGTATTGGGCTGCTACCCAAAACATCCAGTAGTTTGAACTCAACAGCTGCTCCACAGGAGATACATAAAGTGACTATATCCTCAGGCCTTGGGAGTCAGTGAACACTAAGGTAAATTAGCTTAACAGTCCACAAAAACAATATTCTACACCCTCCTTTGGAGAATTAGTGACTGGAGTCTTAAAGCCTGTGAGGGGCCATCTAAGGTGCAACTACCTGTCTCTCCCTGTCCAGAGGAAAGAGTGATGAAAATTGAAGACACATGGAACCAGCCCAATGGACACCTTAATCTGAGACCAGAAGAACTAGATGGTACCAGACTACCACTACCAACTTCTGAAAGTGATCACATTAGACGGTCCTGGATAGAGTAGGAGAAAAATGTGGAACAAAACTCAAAATCTTGAGATCAGGCTTGCTGTCATATTGAGGCTGGTAGAACCGCCAAGACCGTGGCTCTCAGTTACCCTTCAGGCCTGGAACTGACCTCATCCCCATGGTTCAATTTTCAGCCAAATTATAGACAAGTCTATAAGGGACACAGTAACATCAGTGAGGGCCACACATCTTAAAATAATCACAGGGGAAGCACCCAGGACAGTTCAGAAGGACTAGGAAAGAAGGAATGGACACCGGAAGGGGGTATATAGGATATTACATTGAGATAAAACAAAATTGTATAAATTTTTTAATCTAAAATTGATGATCTGCTATATAGCCGATTCATCTAATTCACACTGAAAAGTTATACGATTACAGACCTGACCTTACAGAGCAGTTTTATGTGCTATAGCGTCCCTTTGAGTCAGAGTCAACTTGACCACAAAAGATTTGACCCTGATTTATCTGGGTGAGTCCTGTGTATTCGCAGGGGCCTCTGAAAATGGAAAACCAAACTCACTGCCTTTCAGTCAGTGCTGATTCATAACGACCCCTATGGGAGTAGAAAGCCAAGTCTCCAGGGAGCTGCTGGTGGTTTTGAACCATGCAAATTGTAGCCCTGCACCACCAGGGCTCCCCTAAAAACTGAAGAGGAAGATAAATGAGATACTCTGGAAAGATGAGGCAAAAGAAACAGAGCCAAAGCATAAGAGGAACAGGTGCTGTTATTAGCTTTGAAGGAGACCACAGCCCAAGGACTATAGACAGCCTCAAGAAACTAGGAACAAGTGCTTCCAACCACCAGCAGAGAAAACAGAGACTTCAATCCCACAACCTTATGGAACTGAAGTCTGGTAACCTGAACGAGACTGGAAAAGCCTATCTCAGATCCTTCTGGAAAGAACAATCCTGCTGACACCTTGATTTCCAGGCTTAGGAGACTGAACAGAGAATCAACTGAGCCACACCATGTCCAGACTCCTGCCCTACAGCGAATGAGAAAAATAGATGTTGTTTTAAGCCACTAAGTCTGTGGTAACTTGCAAAGGAAATCTAATACAGGCACTATGGAAACTCCTTTTTAATTCTCTCAGCAAACAGTGACTTGGCTCTTATATGAGAACCATGGGGAGAATCAGCTGTGAATATGGTTCAGGGTCTCTGTCTTTGCAAAAACAAACAAATGATGATGTCAATATAAAGTCTGAAAATGGAGTATATTCAGAATAGTAGATAATGTAGGGACTGCAAAAAGCCCATGGAATGCATAGGTGTAGGCTCATGACACATGGAACACAGGAATAGGGATGGGAATAAT